TCATTTACTTGGTAAATGACAGAACTGTGGCAATAATTTAAAGATTTAGGCACTAAAGACGATTATGAAATTCTGAATAACTTTTCAGGTTAGACTCCCGTTATAAAGTGATATTTAATACAGAAAAAAGTGACATATAAATACAGAATAACACACGCAAATAAAATTCATTGAAAATTTTAATTGAGGCCAAATGTCCTTTTACGTGCGAGAACGTTATGCTTTAGTCAAATATTTTAATCATGTTGTTCGAAATTGATTGTTAATTTCTGAATTGTTCCTTACAGACAGATAAATAGAACTTATTTCGACTGTATTATCACCTGTCGGATTTGCACGGCTTACTTGCACTTACACTTAGCTTCAAATAGCCACCGAGGCCGCAAAGACAGGTCATGGCCATAAGGTATTTTAGCATCTGCAGTGGATGGGGGATAAAAACCACCATTTTGTTGGGTTGAACAAAAACATGTTCTAACACCAACAGATATACCTCGATCCGTAGGAATATACATACATAAAAATAACCCAGGTACTACTTGTTAATTATCAAACTGCTAGTTTTCGACAGCCGGTTAGAATAATAATTTCCTGCTACTTATCTGGGTTCTCACCGCGTACTTGCACTGTGCCCTGGGCTAATCCTTTTTAGTTATTATGATAGCTTTTACAGCATATTTGTTTTTTTTATAAAATCTGTTCGTCTTAAATTTTAAAAAATCGAACGGAACTAATCTGAATTGAAGTCAAGAATTAATACGGCTTTACTGTTTGGAAAATATACAATTATTCTATTCATTCGAATCGGCCAGCTTTTTCCGTTCCTTTGATTCACAACGACCATTAAATCGCTTCGGACTATGGCCAACCACATTTCTGCACGTTGATCGAGCAATTTTACTAACGTCAAAATTTTTGAGATGGTACCTTTATCATCGGTTAATTGTTAACTATTTCGTGTCCATTGAAAACGGTAAATACTTTTAATCTGTCTATGTCGACCACCCTTATGTTCTGTACATCTATCATTTTTTAAGGCGGTATGTCACCAAATAACCAGAAGAACATAAATAAAATCATGAATACAAACATCTCAGATAAATGCAAGATGTGCGGAATCGATCCAACATACTGTCATAGGTTATTCTTCTTTGTTTAACACAGAGTAATTCAAACATTTCCAAGAGCATACACTGACAATCGGCACTTGAAAGAGGCCTCATCTCAGAAAGCAAACCGTATCATCGATAACATCTAGTGAACATGCTTGCGAATGGCCAATGTACCGCATCACACCTAATCAAAATAAAAGTTCTTACCGCACTGAATACTGAAAGTCATGCGGGAGCGACGAGCGTTAACGTATTGCTCATCTTGAGAGGGCAAATGATTCCAGGTTGAAGAGCCCAACTTCGAGTAGCCGTACTGCTCCCAAAACGATGCTATGCTAGCAGCATTACCCGTGAAATCCAAGTTTTGCCAGTAGCATTCCATATAGTCAGACAGTATGCGAAGCAACTGAAATATCAGTTATTATTCTTAAATCTAATAATACACGTACAAAAGGCTGACAAAATACGAAAGAAATTTTGTAGAACGGAAAATATAAATCGCACAAATGTACGTGCCTTCTGATATTCATTGACGTCTACAAAGTTCTGTTTGTTCTGAGACGGTTCCAACAGAATGTACGGAATATCGACGAAGCCGCACACTCCAACACAAATGCTTCCACCGTTTCTCTGACAGCCCACCTTTTCATACATCCTTACCAACCGACCGTTGTTATAAACGAAGCATCCGCAATCCGAGCGTCGTGCAACATTTAGACCAAAAATTAAGTTCAACACAACAGCCTTCCGTAAAAGTCTGAAAAAAATTTCATTTAAAATAAATGCAGCACGACTGAATTATTTCGAACGGCATGAGATCAAAAATCAGTCATTCGTAAGTTTTGCATATTAAATTTTAAGATCTCATTTAAAATCTGTATGAAAAACGATCTACATACACGAAAGCAAAGCAGTAATCCGAACATCGGGAACATATTCCTCAGTGGCGAGCGTAGGGCCTACAAACGAGGCACTGCCATACGGTGGATAATAACTCTCATTTTTACGAGATAAAGCTGAACAGATAGAAATCACATGCTTAACGTCACTCTGAAGTACCTTTTCTAACGGAGAGATATCATAAATCTGGGTTTAAGCTATGTTAGCCTCATGTGACGATGACAAAACAACAATAAAAATAAAAGCTTGACTACAAACTCAGATCATAAAGGTTCCGAAATGGGTTCTTCATATTGTCATGCGAAAAGAAATGGCGCGATATGGAAAGAACTACATCTTCTGAAAAGCGATTGATTCTTTGCAATAAATATGAAAGCTTATGGCTAGAATAAGTAAGAAATGGTTTGTGTGATCCATTGAATTTAACGACAGGATACCAGTAAATGGTGTTTTCAGAGATCAACATCTTTAGCTGTTTGCACAGGCAGAACGTGAGTTGATAAGTATGATATTTCATTGGATAATTTAGCAATTACCTACTTTGGTAGCGGTCTCGAAGTTCTAAATCCTGCGTATTCGATTATATCCACTAGGGACAAGAAAGATCAAATGTTCACTTGATGTAGCTGACGATCCATTTTCACAGCGCTAAAGGTGTCTACGTTTAAAAGTATTCCAGTAGCTACAACAAAAGATACGGCTATTTGTCTTTTATTTTCAGGACTTAAGTCACAACAGTGCCTGTGGTGATAAGTCTGTTTTAAAACTGCTCTACCAGGCAATCTAAGGAATCAGAATGGTTATCTGAACTACATAAAAGCGAAAACCACTTTACACCAAAAACTGACAAGAGTTGGGAAAGGCCCGCTGATAGCGTGTTGGTAAGTTGTCAGGGTAAACCAGTGCTGATGAATCCTACCTAATAAAAAAAATTGTTGAAATCGTCGGTTATGAGAAAAATGACTATTTTTAATGATAAATCCTTGCAAGAGGCACAAACTGAAATTGCAACCTACAGAAAAACATTTTACAATAAAAAACAATGAGATCGTTAAAGTTTTTAAAAAAAATAAAACAACCACATACTCAATTCTCTGCTTGCCAATTTTCTCAATCCGCTGTAATTCATGCAATGAATTTGCTGAGTTTTCTTGCAGCATGCACCATCGACCCTAAAAATTCACAGATCGACATTCAACAAATATTATGTTTCAAGCGACGAATACTATGCAAAGCTGAATTATTTGCAAGAAAAGCCTGTGACAAGGAAGCTGTCAATATGTTCATCAACTCTATGATTTATTGACGATTATTCGTCCTTCTCTTCTTCTTTTGCTTAGCAGAAACACAGATTACTCAGATCTCTACAGATTACTAGGTGGTTTTATGCAAATCTCAGCTTCATGAATCCGTAAAGATTCACACTGAAATCGAGATAATGAATAAAACACAAACCATTACAGAAGGTGTCGGTTTTCAGATGACATGTCAGCGAGGTTTAACGCTAGCGCTATATCTGTTTCTATCTTCTGCTACTGCTAAAAGAAGCAGATGACAGGTTTCGGCTGGTCGGATATTATTATAGAGGTACGAAACGAACTGTGGCAAAACCATCAGTTCAAAACACAATCGTACAAAAAATGTCTAGCAAGAAAAAGTTTTCGTCATCATAGCCTCCAACAAAAGAACTAGGTACAGCAACGTTAAGAAAGTTGCAGCCACTTGGCTCACTTGAACTACCGATAATCAGCGACTAATCGCGCCGTCCTCAACACACCCGCTATTCCCCACTGTTTCGAGTCCTGTTCCTCCAAGCGCAGTCTTCCTGGCTCCTGATGTACTCTTCCCACCGCTGTGGTGGGCGAGTGAAAGGTCTAGTTCACCCGCAATGGTACCATTCGATGATCATAGCATACTAAC